GCTTCAACATATAAAAATCAATTAAGACAGAACCTGGCTGGAGATCCTGGCTAGAACCTGGCCAGAGAACCTGGCTAGGCTGCTGATCAACTGAATGCTCTCTCCATGTCATTCCGTCTTCACCGACTCTGTCCACACCTTTGGGAACCCCTGGACCACTGGGGATGGACCCTAGCACGCCTCCATTGGCTCTGAACAGGCGTAGGCTTCCTCCGTGTCCCCTCCAGACCCACCCAAGGCCAGTGTGGTTCCCTCTCTCAGGGAGGTCCCCTGGGCCCGTTTTCCTCCCAGATGAGGTGAATTCACCCCTTCATCTCCATCAAGTGAATCCTCAGGTGGTGGTGGTGGGTGTGTGGGGGGGGGCAGGAGGCTGGGGAGAGGGGTCCAAGACCCAGAGTGGTCTCAAGGAAGATGGAATAATTCACTTCAACAGATAATTACTGTTTGCAGGACACTGCTAAGCATGGCAGTTGGTGACCCTGTTGAGAGAGCAGATTTTGGTTCTTTGCCAACCCCGGTGGACAGTGAATTTCTGTTTGATCAGTCAGGTTTCTGAAGCCTCAGTTAGGGGCCCTCTCTAGAAGAATCTGGACGAGGGGCAGAAGTGTCAACACCTCCTCGCCGCTCAATCCTCCAAAGTGGTCTTTCAGTGAGAATGGGGAAGGAGGCACACAGGCAGGGATAAGTGTGGGGACTAAAAACAGTAATGCTTTCCCACCCACCTTCTGTGTTCTCCTAGCTGGGCCGATAATCACATTAACAGAAGAAAATGAAATGTTTAATACATGTGCCTGGGGAACGCACATAAGCGTGGAAAATTTAAAGACGGAGGCAGCATAGGGTATATATGATATTTTTGACAAAGGAGAAAGCTTTTTCTAAGTGGGATGGGTGATTTACAGGCAGTTCACGTGGCGGGCAACGTCTTGGTAGGCAACTCAGAGACCCTGGAATCCTGGAGGTATCTAGCTAGCGGGCCCCTGCCTGAAGCTCACCTAGTTGCCAAACTGAATTCAAATTAGGCAACGGGGACATCCTTACATTTCCTTCCCGAAGCAGGTTTTTCTGTCTGAATGTCTTGAGCAGGAAAGCGGGGAGGGCCACAGGTTCTTTCGGAGTCTTCTGTTTCTTCATAACCAGTTGACAATTAATATCCCAAAAGGCAGCTTCAAGGGGGCAAAACGTTGGTCCCCTTCATAAGCAGGGATAGAGAATTCTGGCATTTGTTGAGCATTTTCTATGTCAGAACCGTGCCCGGTGTTTTGTACCTGGCATTTGCGTGTTATTAATCCCATCATGCTGTAGGTGAGAAGACACACCATCAACTTAAAGATGGCCTCTGGGAGAGAAGGGAAACACAGTGACCCTCCACACGCAATGCATCGTAAGACATACCGATTTCCGGAACATGCTAAAATGTGAGAAAAAGGTGAACCTTAAAAGTTTGCAGTCGTTGTCTGACTATCTAAATGGACTGCAAGGAACAGGAGCCACTGAAGTGTTTTGAAAATATAACAATCGTACTTATTGCCTACCAAGCACCAGGCATCACTATAGTTACCATTTTTAGAAATAAGGTACAAGTGTAATACTCCCAACCGCCCTGCTAAGAGTGATCCTCACTGTGTGGATGAGTAAATGGAGAGTGGGGGAGGTTTCACCACTTGCCCAAGGCCACAAAGACAGTAAGTACAGTTGGAATTGGAACCCAGGTTTGCCTGGGGTCAGAGCCAACACAGTTCCTGCTGGGGCACCTAACCTCTGCAGGCATGGGGCTTTGTCAGCTTTTTCCCAGCCCTGGCTCTGTCCTGACCTTTTTACTATCAACACCCCTCTCCCAGCAATGAGATTTCCCAGAGGAGAATGCAATTCATTGGTGTGGGGGGGAAAGGGAGCAGGCAGAAGGTACAAAATAGTCAAATTACCATTTTTTTCAGACTCAAATCAAGTCTTTAAAGGGTCAAAACCACGCACTTCAGGTTTTGCTGTGCACTGCAGGAAGCCCATGAATTCAAGGATCCCTGTATTGCTGAAAATAGAATTGTAAAAAAAAAATAAAATAAAAGGGGTGGGGGGAGAAAGCGAAGGAAACTAATCCTATTAAACGTGGTAGCATGTTTTTGTGGCACGCAGGGAGAGCTTATGCACAGGAAAGGGGATAAGTACTGCTTCAGTTTCACTAAACTAATGTGACAAGTTGTCATTGGAAATCTTTGCAGCTTGTTAGTAGATGACTAGCTAATTCAGAAGTGTTTTCTATCATTCCCTTTGTGTCTCCCATGAGGTTTTTTTTTTTTAATTTCTTTCTTTTCCTGTTTCTTTCTTACCCACGCTGCTCTGTTTTGCTGTTTAATCTTTCATGTCTCCTTCAAGTCAAAACATTTAGCTGGCTCTAATCAAGATTTGGTTTTGAAGATGCCCTTCGACCTTGCGTTGCCCAGAGAAGCCAGGGAGGCAAGACAGCTTTCCATCCTAAATCGGAGTCCGGGGTCTGCCGGGTGGCTTGAAAAACCAAACTCCTGGAGGAAAATTCTCATTTCAGATTTCATTTTTCTGCAGTCCCTCTCTTTTTCCCTTCCCTCTCTTCTTTCTCTCTTTTTTTATCCTCTTACTCTCTTTCTGCCTTTCGTTTGCACGCCTCTGTCTTTTCTCGCACGCCTCTTTCTCCTGGTTTCCTCATTTCCTCCTTCTCTCTTGCTTTCTTCCCACTTTCTCTTTCATCCAATTTCTTTTCCCCTCTTCAATTCACTCCAGTAACTCTCATTCTTTCTTTCCTTCATGGAGAAAGGTTATGAATCTCTCAAGGTGGCGGCTTTCCCATGGAATTCGCTCCCGCTGAAGGGGGCAGTGTTTCAGGGAAGGGGCCCAGGGCCGGCCATCATAGACAGGCGGGGAACAATAAGCTGATCTAAATTAAGAGGAAGCAAGGGTTTTAGGCTTGGTCTCTGTCCTTCCAAAGCAGGTGTCCAGCTTGTTTGGAAATGACTGTCTCTCTCTTTAGCTTTGGCATCACTCTCTCCCACTGTCGTCCTCCCTCCCCCGCTCCAACTTTCCCCACTGGCTTACCACCAGAGGCGAGATGTTGAGTCAATGGAAAAACAACATTCGCCAACATTAAAGGGAGACTGTTTGGAAAAGGAAGGCCCTGCTGAGGTGCAGAGGAAGCCTGTACATTAACACGGGCCACCTCTTATCGGGGGCAGCTGGGCCTGAGCTGCCTGTGTGGATTCCCCGGCTTTGCCAAGAGGCCTTCACAGAGAGGCCACCTTGCGAGGTGGGGGGCTGTCTCTTCCCCTTGGGCTTCACCAGCACTTTCAGAGACACAGAGTCATTGCTTTACCCGCCCCCCCCACACCTTCCCCGCGCCCCCCTTTCCCCCCACCAGCGGTTTCATGGAAAACCTCCTGGACCAATAAGCCAAGTTCTGTAAAGGACAGCACTTGTCCAGGCCTGCTCTGGGCACTCCTCACCATCAACCTGGCCCCTCTCTTTGCCAGTCCTTTTGAGGACTCCCA